TCTATCTTTTCATATTTACTTCTATTAAATACCCTACAATAAATATAAAGTCATTCATTAATAGAGGTACTTTTGAAAAAAAAAGACAATGATTACACCTTAAAAGATTAAAAATATCTTATATTTTTAAACATTCAATTTCTCAAAAAATGACTTACATTTTTTAATGGAGGGAATATTACTTTGCAATCTTATATTATTTAAATATAAATATTAGTACTTTTGTCTAAATATTCTACCAGTAACATCCCTAATGTTGTCATCTACACTGTATGTAGATATGTGTCATAATAAAAAGTATAAGAAAGAAAAGAAAAATTTATGTTGATATATATATCATCAAGTTATTATTCTTCGAAGTCACAGGAAAAATTGAAAAATGTTTAGTTTCTTATTGGCAAACAGGGCAATGCCCAAACAAATTAATCCACACAATATTTTAACACATTTAACATCTCACTCTCAATCTAGCATCTATTTCCAAACGATAACAAACTTATCCTACTCCTTCATTTTTCCAAAATCCTCAGCTTCCCATTCCAATTCCTCCTCCAATATTCCCAAATCCACCTAACCATCATTCTAAGTGAACAAGTAATTTTATTATAGATATCAAACACATAATATTATTAGAGGCATCTTGAGATTTTTACAGCAATTTTGTGATGGATATTGCTCTCTGGCTGGCCCTAGTTTGAATAAACTTTTGATTTCTTCAACGAGCAAGATTCCTTTATATGTGGCACTAATAACAATGTTAATGTGGATTGTTCTGGACTTTTGATGATAATGCTTGTCAAGCGTCAAAAAGTGATTTTAGTTATTGTAGGTAAAGCCTTTTATCTTATATATCAAATGCCCTAATTTAAGACCAGTTGTGCCGCATCATCATCCCTTCGAGCATATTTATTAAAAATAAGGGAACTAACATTACATATCGAAAAAAATTATAGGGGCTTGAAATATCAAAAAAATTACAGCAACCAATAACAAAGCATAATGAAATTATAAGCACTAATAGTTATGTTTCCAAAAAAAAAAATCATAATACCGACCTAGAAGATCTGGTAGCCAAGCCTAAAGCCCAATATGGCTCATCTTCTCTTTGAAAGGATCAAATTCTGGTCTCCATGTTGTAGCCGAAAGATAGTTTTCATTGAGAACCTATGGTCCTCCCATTGAAAGCTTCTTTATATTCACATGCATCTTTGAATTGTAATAAGAAATAACCATTCTGCTTGTCACTTGTTTTGTTCTTGGCCCAAACCTAGCTCAATTTGTTCCTCATGAAAAAAGAGAGAAGGTGGCTTCCCTAACAATTTCACAATGATCAACACAAGTTTAAAAGGCTTATATATAGATCATCTCCTTTTCTTTCTCATCAAGGGTGAAGTTTGGGCATGAAGGGTTAGAGAGATCCACTATTATCCCCTTATATGGCTATGAACCTTAAAGAAACTTGTATATGCACTTTCATAATCTATCGTTTCCCCCTCACCCTGGTCCTTCTCTGCTTCTATCTCCTCATCAGATTCATCATCTCCTACAAGCTTAGCTTTAGATTCATCTTCTTTGCAATTGTCTTCCATCCAATCCTCTATTTATTTTGTCACCAACATACTTAATCCTTACATTTATAAAAAAGTTAAATTTATAGGGAAAAAATGTTTTTGCAACCCAAATGTCAAACTGTATTGATTATAAGCAATCCAAAGACAAATAGAATTGATAAAAACTAAATTTTCAATTAATATAGTTAAATATAAGTTCATTTCTATTAATACTGTGATTGATTAGGGGTAATCGGTGATTTTCTTTTTATTATAATTTTCTATTTTATTCAAATTTATTTCATTACATTAATTATTCGGTTGTTATATTATTATAATTTGGTTTTGTGTTTATTAAAGTTTCTAATTCTTATTATACATAACTTGACATATATTAAAAAAAATAAATACTTACTCTCAAGGCTGTGTGTGCCCTTAGTTAATTAAGGCGATTGCCCTAGGCTTCAAAAAATAGTCACTTATACCTTTTATAATTGATCATTATATTTTTAAGTATTAATGTTAATTATATATTTTCATTTATAATTTATTATTAGCTTATATCTTATATAACCACTCCTTAAGAAAAGTGCTGTAAAGATAGATAGAAATAATACTTTTTTTAATCCTTATTATAAGGTGTTTTTAACAACTTCATTGGAACCAGAAAATGTCAATTTACTCATTTAATATGTCTTAAAATGAAAAAAAAAATTAACTCTACCCTTATTAAAAATAAAAAGTGAGAGGTTTGCAATATACAATGAGCTATAAAATTAAATTTATAATAGGAGTAAAATTAAAAAATAATAATAAATTACCCTCCATGTATCTTATATTAAGGATTAAAGAATTTTTTTAAAAGATATTCTATAATAGAAATCAAAGAGAGTAATACATTGGACCTCTTAAATAATTTTATCTTAAGCCTCAAAACTTATTCACATAGCCCTACTTACTCTTTTTGTGCCTTCAACCCTTTAGTTTCAAATTTGCCTCCGATCTTTTATTACTTTTTTTTAGCCTTTTTTGATTATAACTTATTTTTTATAAATAAGTTTAAAAATAATAATAAATTTGATTTTATATATTATTTTGGAGCAAACTCTGGCATTGGGTTTACTTGCAACGTTTTTTTGTCCCAAGAAATGTTTTCTTAAATCTTAGGGAACCTAAAAAGAATCTTATTTATTACTATTCTATTTTTATTTGTAAGAGAAATTATTAATTTTTATTTTTTATACAAGTAAAATTACATATTTTAATAAAAATTTATTACATACTTTTTAATTATCCCTCATAATTTACATTAATAAAAAATAATTAATGTACGCTTATATTGATTTAACATAAAGTATTTTAGTTTAATTTTTTTCAGATATAATTATTATAATTAATTAATTTTTTTAAATTATGTAATATAATATATATATATATATATATATATAAACGAACGGAGTATATCCAAAGTAAATTATTCCAACCAAAACATAGAAACAAACAACAAACCTTGTAATAAACATGGAAAGTTGGAAACTAATCAGTTAGTCGTGCTTTTAAGGCTAGCTTCAGCCTAAGATACATGGGACCCACGTGTTGTACCTACTCAACCAATCACGTATTGCCACATTAAAAGAAATGCGTACAAAAAATGTTCGTGGTAGCCAAAACTTTGCCACGTGTCTCTCATTTGGCTGTCCGATCTTGATTGGTTGGTATGGGTGAACCATGGAAGCTTCCTCGCTGCATACAAACTCTCAGTACTGTCTCTGAAATTCACAGAAAAATAACCTGGTGGGCCATACAATTTGATGATTTTTTTTAATTATTTGAATTGATTCTTCTGTATTTAAAATATAAAGGAAGATACGAAAAGAAAGAAAACGAAAGGAATGAACATAAACAAAATTTATTCATTTCTTTGTTCTATATTATTGATTAAATATTATATCAGTTTTTCTAATTTAATTATTTTTTTAATTTTACAAAGGTATTATCTGAATAATTAATTATTTTAATATCATGTAAATAATTTATTTAAATTAACTTTCATAATTGGAACAATATTGAAAACATGGACCCACACGAATTGAAAAGGTTTTTTTTTTGTTTTTTTGCCTTATAAGTGCCAAGCCCTTGAACTACTTGTTGAGGTTTTGTAATTTTTATAGGGGATAAGTCTTGAAAAAATGAGAGATTTTTTGTATAAAAAGACTTATGATTCCAACCCTTTTAAGCCTAACTTGTTAAAAACAAGCTTTTGACTGAGTAATTCCTCTAGGCCTTAAAATTTTCTCTTTATTTTTTTCAAGACATTATTTGGTTAAAATTGTTTGATTGAAATTGTTGATATTGCAAAAATAATATGGTTAAAATTGTTTGATTTATTTTAATTTTTAAATTAATATGTGAAAATCATACAATTTGTTAAATGGTGTATTGACATAACTAGAAATTTAAATTAAAAAATATGCAATCATTTTAGGTCGGTTTCAAGCCTTATCAATAAGAGTTAGACTTGAAAAACATAGTTGCTTTAAAATATGTGGACTTATACTTGGAGATGTTTGGTTCAACTAGTTCAAAAAGTTAAATCAATTTATTATAGCATCTCATGTTTGAGTTTTAAAATATATGGACATATTAAATAAATATATTACAAATGTTTACACAATATATGTGATTATTGATAATAATGATCCCATGTATCAGGAACTTGGATTAATTTGGACAAGTGTTGGCAATATTCTCAAGTTTTCAAGGATGCTAGGCATTGGAATAAAAAAGAAGTAGGGGCTTATAGACTTCAACAGTTGAACCTTCATGAATCAAGTTAATCCTTATAAACAACTCTACTTGGGTTGGAGTGGGGTGGCTAGGGTAGGTAAATCTTTATAGTCTAAACTCAATTAAACTTTGATCAGTGCAACTTAATTTTTAAGTTTTAATTATTTAAAATATTGGTTTCTAATGTTCTATAAATAACTTTAATTCTTGCATGTTTTTAATGAAATATAAGGACTAACATTTTAAACAATTAACTTTAAGATTTGGTTGCAAAATAAAAATTAAAAAATTGAGTTTAAATTCAATTAAAATTATATAGATCAAATTACACTGAATTAAAGTCAAATGGTTGAATTTTAACAGTAATAAGCAAATAATTAGTTTTCTCTGTAAAAGATAATTCAATTCCTTATCTTCAGTGCCCTAACAGAAATTAATTTGGTCCGCGAAGTAGTCTACTTGTTCATGAGAAAAAGAAGGTTTAAAAAATATTAAGAATGTTCAGATAATATATAATTGGCCAAAATTTCTAACGTAGATGTGTAGTTTTCTTTTGATGATTAATTACTTTTATTTTATGGGGACTTATCTATTTACTTTTTTCTCAGTCTTTGCTAAAAGAATCTATTTAAACCGTTTCGCCGAAAACTCAAGTATGATTGAGGAGTGGTTGGCGAGCGAGAGAGAGAGAGATGCACCCAACAGAGAGTTCGTGTCCCGGAAACATTCTTTTCTTTTTAGCACATCTTTGAATCTGGCAAGTCCAAGCTCAAGAGCCACAACTTAACTGTTTTAATTTCGATTCCTATCCCAATCCAAAATCAACACTTGAACTACAAAAGAAACACTAGAAAGAAAAAAACTTTTACTGTTTTTTCTGCTTTTTCTTCTTTTTCTTCTTCTTTTCTTTCCTGTGTCTGGGTGGTCTCATAGAAGCTCATTTTCTTTGACTGTACCTCATTTTGTGGGTGACTACAAATCATTGCTCTTTAACCTTTTGTCTGGTAAAGTTAGGGTCTCTTGTATTAGCGTATTCTCACATTACATTTATTATAACCCCTTTTCTACTTTTCAAGATCGGTGAGGAAATTATTATTAGGGTTGTTTCATTTATTCAATTTTTCCCCTTTTCCGAGGGCTGGATAATCTCCGCAGGTTGAGATGTTTGGGTGGGAGGAAAATGAGGGAAAATGTGGATGGAGCGAGTGTTGTGGGAATGCGATGAGGAAGAGAGCGTGAGGAAGTGCATTGAGTGAGATATGGGCTGTGTGTTCGGAAGAGAGGCGTCGGCGAAGTTCGCCGGAGAGACAGTGTCGGAGAGGGAGGAGAGGAAAGAGGTAGTTACAGCTGCGAAAGCAGGAGCGAGTGAGGTTCCAAATAGTGGGAATCGGAAGGAAGGTGGTGGAGAGGAGAAGAGTGCACGGCCAAGAGGGGAACGGCGGCGATCGTCGAGGCCAAATCCGAGGCTGAGCAATCCACCGAATCATGTACATGGCGAGCAAGTGGCGGCGGGATGGCCCGCTTGGCTCTCCAAGGTTGCAGGGGAAGCCATCGATGGGTTGACGCCTAGAAGAGCAGACACTTTTGAAAAGCTTGATAAGGTATGAAATCTGGAGGTAATCTTTGTTTTGTTTCCATTTCAAGCTTGTGGAAGGGGAACTCAGCTTTCTTGGTTTGATTATGTTGTTTGCATTTGAGGAAGTGTGATGTAAGGAGTTGACTGTCGGGGGTGTTAAGTTGCTTCTATTTCTTTTTTCCTGTTGTTTTACGCTTCCTTAAATGGAGAATGTTGATGTTTTCACTCTTTAAGTTTAAAAGATGAATTTCATTGGTAATGCATGCGGTCAATTCTTTGTCGTCTGGTTTTTGAAATGTAAATAACCCCTAAAATTAATAATACGGCGTTTTTGACATGGTTGGATTGGAGTTTTATGCTTGCATAAAATGGTATAGATTTAAAGGATTCTAGTTTCGTTAAGCCCTCATATATATAAGCCTTAAGACTTGTATATATTTTTTAATATTCAGATTGGCCAAGGCACATACAGTAATGTTTACAAAGCCAGAGATACTTTAACCGGGAAAATTGTTGCCTTAAAAAAGGTTCGATTTGACAATTTGGAGCCAGAGAGTGTGAAATTCATGGCCCGAGAGATTCTTATATTACGTCGTCTTGATCATCCCAATGTTGTTAAACTGGAAGGCTTAGTGACTTCTAGAATGTCATGTAGCTTGTATCTTGTTTTTCAATACATGGAGCATGATCTGGCAGGACTTGCTACAAGCCCATCAATTAAGTTCACTGAGCCTCAGGTATTGACATTTTGGGATTTTGTTGGTTCAAATATAATTGTTTTGAGATTTATATATAGATATATAGGCGCACACGCACACACGCACTATTTTTTTTCTTGAGGTGAATTTTTTATTTAATTTATCATATCCATATCTATTTTAGGTTAAATGTTACATGAAGCAGTTGTTTTCTGGTCTGGAACACTGCCACAACTGTCATGTGCTTCATCGAGATATAAAGGGGTCAAACCTTCTTATTGACAATGAAGGGATCCTTAAAATTGCTGATTTTGGATTAGCTTGCTCCTTCGAACCTGATCACAAGCACCCTATGACAAGTAGGGTGGTGACTTTATGGTATCGACCTCCAGAACTTCTTCTCGGGGCCACTGATTATGGCGTAGGAGTGGACCTCTGGAGTGCTGGCTGCATTCTTGGAGAATTGTTGGCTGGAAAGCCAATTTTACCTGGTCGAACAGAGGTAATCTTTAAATGACTGAATATATCATAGAGTTTCTCTAAATACTGTCTCTTTTAGGGCATCAAAATGTATTCACTTCAGTAGTCGATGGTGCAGGACTTTGTTGCCATTGGCTTCTCAATTTTCCGCAACTTCTTGTTTGTGAGGTTGGTGCTTTTGTTCTCTTATATGATGTTATTCATGCTTTCTAGGTGGAGCAGCTACATAAGATATTTAAGCTATGTGGTTCTCCTTCTGAAGAGTATTGGAAAAAGTCAAAGTTGCCGCATGCTACAATTTTTAAGCCTCAACAATCATACAAGCGATGCATATCAGAGGTATTCAAAGATTTTCCACCATCATCCTTGCCACTAATTGAGACCCTTCTTGCAATCGATCCAGCTGAACGTCAGACTGCCACTGCTGCATTGCAAAGTGAAGTAAGATTTAAATTTGGTTCCCAAGTTTACAGTTCAAAATCACCTTATTTTTGTTGTCGTCTCTTTCTCCTTGATTGGTCCCTTCTTGTCACATGCTTGAACGTTTTTCTAAAAGAAATTCTGGGTAATATGTTGAAGATCTGTGCTTGATTGTTTCTCTTTCGCAGTTCTTTACTACAAAACCTTATGCTTGTGAGCCATCAAGCCTTCCAAAATATCCTCCTAGCAAGGAGATGGATGCAAAGCTACGTGATGAAGAAGCTAGAAGGTGGAAAGGCTTTGATTACTATTTTGAGTCCTGATTCATTTGAAATTTTGAACAATCATCCAAGTTTAGTTCAATTATAAGGGCAAACCGTACTCCTTTCTATATAAGCTTTCAACTGTCTGAGGAACTTCTGGTAATCTGCATATAATATATAATGAAACCCATTTGTTGGTCAATATTATATCAGTTTCATGCTGACAAGACTCTGCTTGTGATTTCATTATAACCCCTTAGCTTCATTTCTAAATAACTTAAACATGTTTAAGTTGCTGAAAATGCATGCATTTTGATATTGAACTTCACCAATGTAGATTGAGAGCAGCAGGTAAAGCTAATGCTGATGGTGGCAAGAAATATCGTCCACGTGACCGGGGAGGGAGGGGAATTCCAGTTCCAGAAGCCAATGCTGAGCTTCAAGCAAATATTGATGTATGTCCCTTCACTTTATTGTTTTGTGGATGTTTTATTAGTCTTCTGATCTGTCACCTTGATGCAGAGACGACGATTGATAACGCATGCAAATGCAAAGAGCAAGAGCGAGAAGTTTCCTCCGCCGCACCAAGACGGAACTCTAGGCTATACTCTGGGTTCTTCACATCACATGGATCCAGTTTTTGACCCTCCTGATGTTTCCTTTAGCTCTACAAACTTGTCATACCCTAAAGCCAATATTCAAACTTGGTCTGGTCCCTTGGTGGAACCTGCTGCCCCGAGGAGAAAGAAGAGCATGGCAGGAGCATCCAAATCATCAAAAAAGGACTCCAGAAGATGATATGAAACAAAATTCTTGTAATATAGATGCTGCTGATTTGCTCAAGCCATTAATCACAGTCACAGAGAGCCATTTCTTTCTTGATCGGAGGTTTCATCTCTATCTCGTCTATGTTCATTTTTTTTTTTCAAGTCTAATTAGATTAGAGAGGAACATCTAATAATAAACTGCTATCAGTAAGTATTCATGTTTTATTTCTCCCTAATTTTGTCATACCTTTTTTCTAAACCCTGTCAATTCTGCACTACTCACAGATACTTGTACTTCCAACAGTTGTTCAACTTTGTTTCTGGGCTAATCTGTCAATACTTTATTCTCTCGCATTAAAAGCATTTATTTTAGGTTAAAATATATTTTTGATCTCCTACATTATAATTGCCATCTTTCTTTTTTATTTTGCTCCGTAAATATAACATTTAAGGTTTTTTCATCAGGAAAAAAGTATTACTATTTTTAAAATTTATTAACCGAATTAAATTATAAATAAAAGGAAAAGACTAAAATAAAATTACTAATTGAAATAAATTAAAAGATAAATGATTGAATTGAACAGTTGAATGCCCAGAGGGGAGAGGCTCGTTAATAACCTCCTAAGTCCTAACAAGTAATGGTCCCCGTCACGTGGATATTATTGGGCCAATCATTGGCCATCGTACGGATTCTTGCGAGATGGATTCGGCTTCTGTAGCCCAAAAAAAAAAAAAAAGTTTCGGATGTGGTTTTGCTTTGTCCTTGAAAAAAAAAGTTGTGGTTTGCCATGTGGCGATTGACTGGGGCTAATGACTGACATGGCAAGACGTGTGGTGGCTGACTCAACTGATGAATATGACTAAGGGTTGACTGGCAGCCATGTGGAAGGGTGACTGGGATGATGACTTGGACTAAGTGATGACATAGTGTTCATGTCGGTGTCACATGATGACTAGGACTCAAATAACAACATGGTGTCAATTGTGTCACCCTGACTGGGATGATGATTGGGACTAGTTGATGACATGATGTCCATGTGGCAAAGTGAAAGTAATGTGACTGGACTCAGTGATGACATGAACGTGCATGTGGCATGGTGACTGGTACTTTTTGCTGAGATGGTGTACCATGTGGCAGGATGACTGGGATGATGATATCCTTTACAATTACATGACATCCTGTGGCACAATGACTGGTCTAAGCAATGACGTGGCATCCCATTTGACACGATGACTTGGCTGATATCTGGACTAAGGGATGACATGGCGTTCCAGATGTCAGTGACTGGGACTCATCTGACATGGTCTGCTTGTGTCATGCTTACAGGATGTTGACTGGGATTTGTGGCTGATATGGCTTCCACATGGCTCGGTGACTGGGATGATATCTGGGACTAAATGATTACATGGCGTCCGTATGGGGCTGACTGGGTTAATGGACAATGAGTGGGACTAATTGATGACATGGCATCAATGTGACCGGGTGACATCGCTGAAAGGCTGATTTGGGTGGCTGATGGAGGTTATGATTTGATTGAGGGTTGACGACAAGACGTGGCGGCAGCTTCAGGAATGGGTTATCTCGAGGCATTTCTGATTTTGACGAACCAAGACGGCTTTAAATTGTTGGTAAACCATTTTAAACTCAAGACATGTTCAAAATGGCTGAAACAATTGAGACATGTGTCAAATTGAGCTTAAACGATAATCGTGATAAATTTAAAATTAAGGTGGACTACACAGATCTAGTCTTATTTTATTTTTTTCAAAAAATTTATCTGCGAGTACTTTTTATTTTCTCAATCTCAAATTATACCCTCAAAACTTATTTTATATTAATCAGAACCCTCCTACAATTTGGCCAATTAAATGTTAAACTTAAAAGTTAAAATCGTTAAAATTTTCCGTTAGAAACTGAAATTAAGAAATTTATAATTTTATTTTAAAACTAATTACATAATTTTTATAACTCAATTTATATAATTAGACTATGTATTCAAAATAATTTATAGATTTTCATTAATAGTTTTAGCTTTAAGGGATTAACATAATCAAACAACAAAGAATTTGATTAGAATAAAACTACAAAAACCTAATTTAAAATTGAGAAAAAAACCTAATAAAAGCTTGCAGACCAATTTTCCCTTATTTTCTTTTCAAAAACTTTGGAAACAGTCACAGGACCAAATGATTTTCCATCTTTTAATTATTTTTCCAATTTCTTAAAACTGACGTTTAAATTGTTTATATTTTGAAATTTGAAGTGAGCAGACACAACGTATTGCAAAACAAGAAAATGAAGGAGATTCTTATAAAAAAAAAAAAAAAGAAAATGAAGGAGAAATAAAGAGTTGATTTATGTACAGAAGGAAATGGAATATTACAAGAATTTCCACGAAACCTAGCCAGAATGGGTCAATTCCAGTCCACAAGAACAAACTCATACAGCGCCCACTTTGCATCCACCACATTCAGTCTCCAATACAACCAATTTTGTCCCCACTGACACGGCATCCTTACCTGGACAATGCAAAATATATCAATTCTTGCTTTTGGGGTTTGATTTGTGACGCATTTACCATAACCTATGAACACACCTCAAGAATCAATTCTTGTGTAATTTTGCCACCATTATTAACACGTGCAATCAATGATATTTAAGTTCCACGGGTTATCCGTTAGATCAAATCAAAACTAATGCTTGCTTTGCTACAACTACTTTTTCAGTGATCCGTTACCTGTTCAAACATGTTCATTCACACGCGATCTTGGTATCGAAACTGCTGAGGCAGATTGCGAAAGCCTGAAATGCCGAGATGGGGTACCGGTAATCCATTGTAAATAAATCCTTCCCAACTTTACCAAACTGCAGGATGATCTTCTCATGTTCTGGTCCAGCAACCCCATTTTCTGGGGAAGCCACCAGCTGAAAGTTTTTTACTGAAGCTACCGTCACGCGCCCATGAAAGTTTAAGCACCAACATTGGAGCTGTTCATGCCACCTTGGAGATTTGTTTTTCAGCACTAGCACGCCATCTTTTTTATCACCCAGGGGTCCAGATTCGGATTTTTCCATATGATTTGACTTTGATCGGAAGAATGGAAATGAAGGAAACATGTCAATGTTGCTCAGAGAAAAGTCAGTCTGTGTCGGCGCTATCCCTCCGGGTTCAATTGCAGAGGCAGGAATGGAGTCCATGACACAATTCATTCTCCGAGGCCCCCTGCTTGTTACATACATGTGGTGAGTATAGCGAACATGGGAATGAAATGCTGTCACTGAAGAATATGACAGGTCAAAATTTACCCCGTACACATGCACCATGTGATTACCTGGAGCCTAACACATTTAATTCATATGAAATGTGGGCCACTGGATAGTTACCAGTGGGGACCCGGGGTGAAACTTGCTTCAGATTCACCAGCCTAGTGGAGCGGCTTTTCGAAATTTTTGCGCCTGCATGAGGTGGCTGGCCATCATATATTGTGAACTTTGTTCCCAGAAAATTTGATCTAATCAAAGGAGAAGAAACAAACAATGAGCTTTTGCTTCCTTACAAACAAATGACAGGCAACATATTAGAAGTCACAGCGCCTAGTTAAGAGCATACCGTAGCTTCCCAATATAGGTGTAGCTTCCATTGGACACATCATCAGCATCTAGAGAGATGACATAATCTGTGCAGGTCGGACGCCTGCACTTGCGTGCAGCCAAAAGAAACTTCCCATCATCAGCTAGAGCTGCAATGAGGAAAACAAAAGGTCAGAAGAACACATACATGTTTCCTGATTGAAAAGGAAAACCAGGGATAAGAAAAAGATGGGACATTATCCTGCAAATAAATAACATCTTTACATGGAAATCCGCTGGTACTTTTACCAGACAGAAAAAGAACAGCACCATATTTTGTGGAAAATTATCTATATATGTATCCAGGTCCAGAAGACTTTTACAGAAAACCAAATTAGAATTTACTCCATGCCAAAGAGGAGGTTCTGTGCTCACCACTACTTAAATTGAGATACAAATAATATGTTTGGGAGGACCGGTTGCGCCTTATAAAGCACTGAAGAAGATGATCTCTAGGACGGGCTGCCAAAAGCAGTCAAAAATTGAACATGTTAAGTTAGGGCAATGCTAAAGGGTAGGTAGGAAAGCAATACATTGATGGATAATTTATCACGTTCAATCTCAAGTCATCAAGCTTCTGCGGAAATCTAAATCATCATACAAAGCAGGGGAAAAGAACAATTTGAGAATTAAATGTGCTTTTGTCTAGATTTCAGAAGTAGGTTTGAGCCAATCGAAATCACAAGCTCCCAGTAACAAGAATTGAAAAAATAAATAAATAAATAAAAACAAACATTTACAGGCAGTTATACTGGAATTAAGCTTTTCTTTCTCAAAAGATCTAAACATGACTAACCAAAAGAGAGAAAAATAAAAGAGCAAGAAAATAGACAGTAATATCTCACCAATAGAAGAAGACAAAGGAAGCACGTTACACTTTGTAAGGTAATAAAGAAAAAGATTGATTAGTTCAACCATACTTTTGACAGCCACATGCTATCCTCACGATAAGAGGTAACAAAAGCATCAATTTCTGGTGTTTTACAACTGGACACAGCACCTACCCAAAAATGAGCACATTATTGTTCACAACAAACAGTACATCACCAATCAAACCCTAGTTTCCTTCAACACAAGCATAGCCGCCGTGATTAAACAGAGGGATCAAAACTCAACAACGTACAATGTCCAAACTCAACGACGCTAACCAACAAAAACATCTTCCTCCCCCGGAAGGCCCGTGATTCCAGAAATTCAAGTCGGGAAAATTGTTGAAAACATGTCATAAAAATAAACCGAAGCAAGACTTAGTGAAGAACCATTGAAATTGCCGAACATGAAGCAAGTACAAATCCTTAGCTGACGGCATTGTGAACGAACCTGCTTGACGGAGATCGGGAACGTGATCTTGGCGGAAACTTCAGGTGGCTTGACGATTTCCTTGGTGATCTCCCTCCAACTCCGGCACACTCCAGCGCAGGCCACCACACTCTTTCGCGGCGGCCAAGAGCTCTCGGAGTCCTCAATTCGGAGTAAAACCTCCCTGAGAAGCTCCTGAGGCATGTGGACCCAGGAACTCTGCTTCAAGCCATCGGTCACAGGCTCCTCCATTGGGGAACCGTCCTGAACCACACGGCGCGACCTGGATCTCATATCGTGGATTAGGCTCCGAATCATAGGCATGGATGGATGTGTGTGTGTGTGTGAGGTTACAGCAAGGTATGAAGAAGAAGAAGAAGAAGAGAAGAAGTGAAGGTGAAGGGTCTTTGAATTTAG